CCTGAAACATTTTACTCAACACAGAAATTCTGCTGGGATCCATCTGGTCACAAAGTGTTACTGGATTAGGTTACAAAATGGGTTAGACTCGGAGGTGATCCAGGCAGCATAGTGGCAAAACATTGAGGTTCTAAAAGAAGCAGCAGAGGAATTATGCAGTCATTGTACAATGCCAGCAACACTGAACACACAGATTCACCCTTTGAAAAGGCCTACCTTTCCTGTCCATATCTCAGCTCATCCGTATGTTGATTTTAATATACAAATTTGTTTTTATCTGTTTTCATATTACTTTAAGACTGTACATGATGGCATATACCTTTGATTGCAGCACTGGTGAGACAGAGGCAGGTGGATGGCTCTGAGCTGGAGGCCAGCCTGACCTACATTGTGAGTTCCAGGCCAGCCAGCTCTACATAGCAAGGCCATCTCTCAAACAACAACAACAACAACAACAAACCCCTCCAAAACACAAAATTAAATTGAGTTTAAAGAGAAGGAAAGGAAAAGCTATAAAGTAGTTACACCCTCTTGGGGCCAGTGAGAAGGCTCAAAGGGTAAAGACACCTGCCACCAAGTCTGACTTGTCTTAGATCCCTAGGACCCACCCAGTAGAAGGAGAGAACGAGTTCCCACAAGTTGTCCTCTGACATCTAAATATGTGCCATGGGTGTGCATACACATACAATGTAACTTTAGAAAAACTTTAAAGAGGTTTTACCCCCTTGGGAAAAGTATCTAGGATATCTAACACTTTCAAATTGCTGTACTCGTAGCCTAGAAATTGATATACCATTAATTATAGTAAGAATGAGACATTGTATTATTTTAGTGTGTTACTTTTAGCAAGTGGCATATACTTTTAATCACAGTGCTCAGAAGCAGAGAGAGGTGAGTCTCTATGAGTTCTTGGTCTGTATAGAAAGATCCAGGCTAGCCATGGTTATACAGTGAGACTTTGTCTCAAAAAAAATAATAATAACTTTTGCCTTTAATTTTCTGCTCCTACAGTCTTTGATGACTAAAACTGTCATAACTAGATTCTGCAAAGATTTTTAAGTGCATATGTCTGAGTGTATGGCACCATGTACACAAAGGCCTCTGAGGAGGTCAGATCCCTTGGAACTGGTATTACAAATGGTTGTGAGCCACCATATGTGAGTGCTAGGACCTGAACCCAGATGCTCTGCAAGAGTAGTAAGTGCTCTAAACCACTAAGCTAGCTCTCCAGCCCTGGAAATTTTCTTTTAACTTGGATAAAAAAATAATAAAAATAGCCAAGCATGGGGGTGCACACTTAATCCCAGCATTTGGGAGGCAGTGGTAGGTGAATCTCTGAGTTCAAGGACAGCCTGGTCTGCATATCAAATTTTGGACCAGACAGGGTTACATAGTGAGACACTGTCTAAAAAGGGGGGGGGGTTAAAAAAATAAATGAAAATAGATTGTATGCTTCCAAGAAGAGGGACCCCCATAACAAATTAGCACCATGTTCCACTAAGCTATGATTCCAGGCTGGAAAGAAGTAGGTCAAATATATGAAACCAGAGAACTGACTCAAAAAATCAGAGGTATGGGGCTGGAGAGATGGCTCAGCGGTTAAGAGCATTGTCTGCTCTTCCAAAGGTCCTGAGTTCAATTCCCAGCAACCACATGGTGGCTCACAACCATCTGTAAAGAGGTCTGGTGCCCTCTTCTGGCCTTCAGGCATACACACAGACAGAATATTTTATAATAATAAATAAATATAAAAAAAATCAGAGGTATATAAAATTTGATACACGAGATCAGACTTAATTACTGGTCCCATTGCTCTGAGACTGCACATTAGTTAGTGTGTTTCCTCTAAATAAACCCATTTTGGTGGTGTTATAGGAAGGAGGATGAAGAAAGATCCCCTGATTCTCCACAGACAGGAACTTGTTTATCTACTAGTGAGAACTGGTTCAGTATCATGTTAATATTGAAGAAGTAAACTAAAAGAGTACAACTCAGTAACTCTCACACCAACAAAGAAAAAAACTGAGCAAAAACTGAGTGAAAATTCAAAATTGTTTGCTTGGTCTCTTTCAAGGAACCTGTGAGTTCAGTCTCATGCTTCTAACCCTTGTCTTCAAGTTCCCAAACTAGAATGAAACCAGATAAAAGCCCGAGGAACCACTTCACACCCTAAACACGTGCAAACTTTGCTCAACAGAACATTCTACTGCCAAAATAGTGCTGGCAGAAGTTTGTAACAAAAGCCCCAGGCTGCATGATTTGCTGGCACTGGAGAGCTTTATAATACAGCCGAGCTTGAGAACTACTAACTCACTTGAGACTCCTCCTCCAAGTCTGACTTGAGAAGGATGAAAGCTATCATCAAGGACTTTATCAACACTTTATCCTCTCTCCAGAAATAATTGGATTTCCCACTCTTGGTTGTCATGCCTCTATAGCCCTTGGTGGCTCTGTTTACACAGCAAATCTAATGCAGGCTATTTTGAAAGGCACATAAATTCAATTTTATTGGGTTGGTTTGGTAAAGGATAAGGAGAGAACTACTATACATCAACAAAATTAATTATGACAAACATGTTTAGAGAATTCTTGATCCACAAATTTTCTACACATCACAATTTATTATCTTCAAAAAATGTGGGGGATAGTGGGTTTGGGACCTAGGCTACATGAGACTCTGTTGTAAAAAATAAACAAAAAATGTGGGAGAAGTTAAGATATAGAATTACTTGTAAATTGCTGCCACTTTCCATCTGTTTCAGCCAGTCTTCTTCACTAAGTTTGAGTGATGACGTTTACTTTGTGTGATTGATATAAGAGAGCCAGAAAAGAAGCCAAGAAGAGTTTCTTCACGAGGGTCAGCAACAAAGCACTGTCTGGGGGAATCTTCTTAAGCGTGATAGTGGAGAACTGAAAATAAATTGTACTTAAATTTAAAAATTGCAGTTAGAAGCCAACACTCAAGAGGCAGAGCAAGAGGACCTTTGAGTTCAAAGCCAGCCTTAAAATAGTGAGTTCCAGTTCAGCCAGTTACATAGTGAGACTCTGTATTTAAGAAGAAAAAGTTGCAGTTAGAAAACCAATGTCTACACGGGTTGTGACTTTATACTTGCTAAGTATGAAATATTGTGAAGCATGGTTTGTTTTCTGATTTAAAAAGAAAAGGCACATTCAAAAGCATCACTTGCTTCTCACATTTAAATGTTCCCTAAAGTTCTCGGCTTTTCCTTCAGTGACCCATGCAGCTCATCAGTTTCTGTGGTCTTTTCTAGAAGCACTCTGATTCTTAGCTCCAACTCATATTTTCACCAGCTTCTAATTTCCACAATGGAAACATTTAGAACAAGATACTTGAGGATGTCAGGGCACTGACTATCTATAGTTTTAAAGACATTTGTATAGTAGTGCTGCCACCTAAAGATGAGGTGACTATAAAAGCAATTCAAAGAAAACGACCCATCACTCTTCAGCCCTTCTCATTTTCTGGCCTCTGACCAGAGATTAATGAATATTTTGTTGCATTTTAAAAGTGTAAGTTCAATGGTTTCACGATGTATTACCGAGTATCATGTTCTATAGCACAAATATCAAATTCAAACCTTTTCAGCGGTCCCTCTAATTCTTTTCAGCCCTTCACCACTATCTACAACATATAAAAGGGTCATTGAATGATACTCTGAAGACAACAGTGGAGGGTGGTGGACAGAAAGACTAAAGCTTTCTCCTTCATGGGTGAAACCATCCTTAAAATTCTGGACAACTAACTTTTCCAACTCAAAAATTCTTATCTCTAAACCAGGATGTATCGTGCCTCCTTTCTACTTTCTCACAGGTTTCACCAGATAAAATTCTCTTGAAGATTAGTGAATTTTAAAGTTCTATTGCCTAAAAACAGGGCATTTGCCGTGGATGTTCAAAATAACTTTAAAATCTGGTCAGTTATTTAAGTTATTCTCGTACTTTAAGAAAACAACAAAACGTTCATTACTCCGTAGTTAGAGGCGAGAACGTGTTGGAGACAGGCTGAAGAGTAATGGGTCGTTTCCTTTGAAATGCTTTTTTAGTGGCCTCTTTATTTTCCCAAATAATAGATGGCTTCTCTGGGAGATCTATTTAAATAAAGATGGTGAAAGCCGACTGTTATTTATTCTGCAGACCATCATTAGCTGATCTATGTCAATTCTGTGTGCTGCGTGTTGAGGTCTGAGATGTTACATGCACCAAAAATCTCAAAGTTGGTAAGATGTCATAAGCAATCTTAAAGGACATTATACAGTCCTGGGTTTCACCCCTGCATAGCAATTTATGAAAAATAACTCGCCCCTTTCTCTCTCTCTCTCTCTCTCTGCACAAAGACGCATAAATAATATTTATCAGGGTTTTGTCCTTAGTCACATTCCCTCAAAGGGGCCCAGCTTCACCTACACTGCGTGGGAGGCTGGGCAGCAACCCCACACTTCCTGTCAATGGTTGCTGGAGCAAGAGCCTCATCTAGCCTCTCCGCTGTCGCTAATTCCTCCCCTCCTGCCCCTCTTGGCCGGTGTCTGAAGGCCAAGGTGAGACCCTCCAGGGAGATGAAAGGCTAGCTGCCCCTGAGCCAGCCCGGCGGAGGGAGGGGGCGTGTGACGAGGTGGCGGCCGGCAGCAGCCGCAGTGACGCTGAGGCCCTAACGCGGAGCTGGCGCAGGCCCTTCAGGCTTCCACCCGGGCCTGAGCCCCGCCTGGGCCTCGAGAACGCCGGAGCGGGATGAGCCCCCTAGGGGCGCCCCGGGAGCGGGGTGGAGAGGGAGCGACCACCCGGGCCCGGTCCTCAGACGCGCCTCGGGGCCTGGGCTGCAGTATTGACGCGCCTAGAGCGGCGAGGGCGCGCTCCCGCGTGTGAGGCAGGGACGGGGAGCGCGCTCGGCTCCCGCGGCCTCCACGGAGCCGCGAGCGCGAGCCACGGAGGGGGTGGGCAGCGCGGGGCGCGCGCTGACGTCGCCGGGAGTCACGCAAGGAGCGCCGGGTTACGCGCCGACGTCTGGCTGCCACGACTCGCCGTGGCGGCGGCGGCGGCGGCGGCGGCGGCGAGCGGATCCCGCTGGGGAAGGAGAAGGAGAGAGGGAGAGAGAGAGAGCCGGAGGGGCTGTGAGTGAGCGGGAGGAGCCGGGTGTCAGCCCGGCCTGCCCGCGGGAGCGAGACCCAGAGCGAGCGAGCGAGCGAGGCCCGAGCCCGCCGCGCGGCCGCCGCCTCCGCCTCCTCCCCTCCCCTCCCCTCGCGGCCCGCCCCCGCCCGCAGCCCGCCCTCGTCGCGGCTCAGCCCGGAGAGCCCGAGCGAGGCGCCGTTCGGCTCGCGCCGCCGTCCAGAACAGGTGTGCGCGCGCGCCTCCCCCTCCCTCCTCCTCGCGCCCGCCTCGCGCGCGCCGGCTTCCCTCCCTCCAGCCCGCGCCCTCCCTCACCTGCGGCAGGACAGCGCCCGCCAGCCCGCCCGCCCTGGTAAGCCCCTCGCGACCTTGCTTGCTGTCACTGCCACAGTCGAGGTGCCGCCCACCCTGTCCCCTGCCACAGTCCTCTCGCAGCCCAGAAATCATTAGAGTGCCATTGCAGACCCAGGCGGTGCAGCAACGCCCCCTCCCCCCCCATCCCGGGCCTGGCGGAGACGAATGAACCCCCTCCCACTTCCAAGAAGGAACATCATAACATTTCCCCCTTTTAAGAACAATTCTCCCCCCGCAGGCACTGGAGACCATAAATGATGCGGGGTTTTTTGTTTTTTCCCCTCTTCCATCTCTGAGCTCCATTTCCACAGACCACAGTGGCCCCGAGGCCTGGGACAGTGCGCTAGACGTGGCTGACACTCCCAGTCCTGCATCCCTTGGAGGTGGGAAGAGGAAGGAGGGATCTATAAATTAGATTCCACTACCAATCCTTCTTCTGCTCCGCCCCCCACCCCCATTACATACGCCCAAGGTGCGTTGTTGGCTTTTTTGTTTTTTTACATTTTTTTTTAAAGGGCAAAGCAAATCGGTGCTGACATCGCCAGGCCCAAGGATGGGTGGCCCAAGCAATAGCCCGAGCGCTAGGTCTGCCTGCCTGCTCATTAGCTTTTGTCGGGGTGGGGAGTGGCGGTGGGGGCAAAAGGAAGGGATGTGAAGCTGGAGGGTCTCCTCTGAGACCGACAGCAGGACCAGAGGTGACTTGCGATGTTGTAGGAACCCTGCAAATGTATCTACCGTAAGCCTGAACTTTGGTAGAGAGAAGCCCCTAGAGACCTGCAAGGTGTAACAGAGCTGTCGGCAGTCGTCCCCCTCCCCCGAAAAATGCCACCTTTTCCGTTGTCTCTGAGGGAACTATTTGAGGCTCGGTTTTCTTCTGGGCCCCTTACGTTACTGTCCAGCTAAGGACTTTAAGGCATATATTTTAGCGGTGATGTCTATGCTACCGTCCCATGTCCTTGGAAGGGAGATTTACAATAGGCTGGATTTGGTTTGGCATCTTTTGGTAGACTGCCAGAGGGGAAAGGAAAATTTTTATTTACTTTAAGACCCCCCTTTTCCCCCCGCCCAAAAGACTTAAAGGGAATTGCGGCTTTGAAAATTGGAGTGTTGGCTAAAGTATGGAAAAAGTTGCTGATTTCAGTTCCTTGAGTATAGTACTAGTAAAATCATTTAAGTATCAGATGAAGAGAGAGCTTTTGACATTTGAATCGGTTTTGTTTGGACCTTTGGGGTCCTTAAATGTTGGGTTCTGTGCATTTTTTTATGGAATTTAGAATGTGTGCTAAATTTAACTCCTCTGCAGATGTTTAAGATGAAAACCTTTTGGAGATGCAAAGTTTATTTATCACTAAATATTCCTTTTCTGAATTTGAATATTTAGTTCATATTTTTAGTTCTAAATACTCATTCAGTGTCAAAGAAAGCTAATTTTCGAGAGTGGGTAGGCTGTTGAAAGCTTCTTTAAAAGGACTCGGGCAATACTAGTGCTGTGAGATGGTTATGGTGCTAGCGTCCGTCCGCTTACTTGTGTCCCTTCCTCCCTTGGTGGAAGCCCTAAAGAAATGGAATTCTTCTGCTTTGAACATTTGCAGCCTAACATTCTGGTTGTTTTTTTTAATGATTTAAGTATTGAAGATAATTGTCTGGTTTAACCCAAGTAGCACTTGAATAAAGTTCAAATGTTCTCTTTTGGGGGAAGGAGGGATTTGGGCTTTGTAAAGTATTAATGTATTGTTTCTGTTGGGAGCACTACAATCAAGAGTTTACTACACAGAGGTAAATAGCTTCTCCTCAAGTTTATTTTATTACTATGTGTTGTTTTTTCCTGTAAAAATAAAAGGTGAATTACATTATTTTAGAATCCCTGTAGTTGAGGCAGAGGAAAATTGAGGATTTTTTTCCTTCTTGGTTTATCTCAATCTGTGCCCTAATGCAAAAAAAAAAAAAATGTGGGTAAGTGTGTTAAATATGTAGTGACTAAAATTTTTTTTTAGTCTTGATTCTCTTTAAAGTGTGTATATAGTGTTGATAAAGAGACTCAAAGGACCTACAAATCTTTATCAGGTAAATGTAAGCAATTTTTGAGTGAAAGGGAAATAATTCTTTTTGATGATTTTTCATTAATATAAATATTTTGCTACACATATTTCGTTTCTTTTTAGTTTTTCCTACACTGGAATGAAATTGTAAGGTTAGTCTTAACAGTTATGTATATTGAAGTAATAGATTCAAAGAGCTAAACACTAGAAAAGGTTTTTCATTTATCAAATTAGTATATTTAGGTAGTTAACAAATGGCTAACAACCTCTTTAAATCTACAGTTTTCTTAAAGATCTTCAAAGCCAGGAAGCAAATATAATTTTTAAATTTCTACTTAAAGTTCTAAACATTTTAAGACTGTCCTGTATGTTAATATTCATTTCTTCCTGGCTGCCTTTTAAGACGAATGTCATACCTGTAGCTTAAGGAAAGCCGCCTTTTACCTTTTAGACAGAGAAAAAGTCCACATTTACAAGCTTATCCTGAAGTTGACGCTCTTGATGAAGTAGTAAAAATATGCTACCTAGCTAACATTGTTGAATTGTTTGTGGGGGAAGCTTCAGTCTTGTTTACTTTTTAGAGATATAAAGAAGAGCTGCTGGCTTGTACAGGTAGAAATTACATATACGATGACTGTATAAAGCATATAATTACTCAGAAGTCTCAGTCATTTGCTGGTTTTCACTCGAAATTCCCACTCTAAGTGTGCAAATGATATTTAATTTGTATTCTACTTAGAAACCCCATCAGTTGCCTTCCTCTGAGGAAAATGTCAATTCCTGGTGATAGCTCCTCTTCCCAGAAAAGCAGGGCTCTCCAAAATTCAAACTGCTTCAGAACCCCTGGAAATAAATGTTTGGATTAACTGCGAAGTTGATTCGGGAAGGCGATTTGGAACCCCAAGTCTGGGAGAATGTAGGAACTGGCAGTGGGTGGCCTCATCAAAATCTCATTGGCCTTGCTATCTTGAGCTCTCGTTAGGCGTATGGTTTTGTTCTTTGTAAAGTAAACTCTTTTAAAAACGGCAGGTACCTCTCTAGAACCGGACTTCACTGGACCTTTCCTTCAGTCACACGTGGAAGCGTGAGACCGCTTTGTTCTATGCAGATCCCGCGTCACTCAGCATTTAGGTTACTGGAGTTGCCGGGGTCTATCCAGGGTCCTGACTGTTTCAAGGAACAAGTAGAGAGCCAGTAGGCACCTCTGTGTCTTCAGGAATTTGTTTTTGTGGTAGGAAATCCTCTAAAAGTTCCGGTTTCCCTTAACCCAACAGACTTGGGGATGGAGGAGAGAGTGCAGAAAACTCAGCACTGAAAAGGCCCTATGTGTAAGTGATTGCTTCTAAATTAAGGAGAAATTCTTTGTGAGGCCCTTAGCAAAGGTTTCTGTTTCAGAGTGAACTTCCTCTTCAGGGAGCGCTTTCAGATGTCACTGTATGCAGGTGCATGTTTCTCAGGCTGGTTCACGGGATTCCCTAATTTGCTCTTTGGTGACCAGGGTTATTTGCCCTCTTTCTTCTTTATTAATGGGAAGTGAATGTGCCTAACACTAACTAAAATGGGGCTCTTGCTGGGGAAGACATATACACCCAGTGGACAGGTTTGCCCCCAATATAAAAGGCCATATTAAGGGGCTTTTCGGGCTCAAGACCTGAAAGGCATCTGTCCATAGACTGATCTTACTTTAATTCTTTCCCCGTTAGGCAACCTTAAAGTTACCGGTTTCTGCAGCTAAGTGGGGAAGGCGGCTCCTTATTGTGGAAGAAAAGGAGTTCAGTAGAAGTGGAACCCACAGATGAATAGGCATATTACTAGGGTAGAGGCATCAATCTGTGTCGAAAAAGCCAGAGATAAGGCTGCATGGTCTGTATCCTCTCCAGTAATGTAGAGTTTGGAGTCCATGGCAAGGGTCTTCAGGAAATAGGCCTTCTCTGTGCCACAGGGCTGCACACTGCAGTAAAGTACGAGCACGCACTATCCTTCTGGATGTTGGAAAAGAAGCCCTAGATTATGAGTTATAGTTTAAAAAGAAAATTTTTATTTCTGAGCTCCATTTTTATTCTTGGGCCCCTTTCTATGGGCACAGGAGATTCCTTTTAGTAGCTAAGACTGATTGGTTAATTAATGGTCAGTAATCTGCATAAAATCCAAGATCTTTTAATATTTTACCGGGGGTGGGGGCTCTTTTGGATACTGGGAGTTTCTGGGTGGAAGAGTAAAGGGGTAAGCAAACCTGCTTTAATGAATCCCGTAAGGAACTGCGTTTCCCAGGAAATTCCTGACATTTTTAGTTCATGAATTTCCGAAAGCCTGATTGGGTTTTCTCCTCCGTTCTGGGTCCGTCCAAAAGAAGAGTGGGCCGGGGTCTGAATACTCAGCAGGGTCTGGTTCATCTGCAGAGCTGGCCGACAACCCAGGCTGGGCTGAGCCCTGAGCATGGTGCCCCCCTTCCCAAATCTCAGAAGGAGGAGGGGGGAGGCAACCAAGCAATCCTGGTCCCAAAGGGGTCTAGTTGCAGGTTTTGGGGTGAGTGTGGGTTTCTTTTCTATTATTGTTTTGGAGTAAGGGCATAGCCTACGGGAATCGGCACTGCGGGCACCTCGGCCCTGGTGCGGCTACTGTCCTTAGCCCAGCTCCCCCCGCTGGTGAGTGCGCCCGCCCGACTGTGCGGGGCTGCGGTTGGGAGGAGGGGGGAGCGGGATCATCTGAGGCCAGAGCCGCTGCCGTGCGCGGGGAGGGGGAGCGGCGGGAGCGAGGGGAGGGAGAGGGGAGGGACGGGCTAGGTGTCTGCTGCTCCGCGCCACTGCTGCCGGCGCCTGGTCCTCGTCCCCAGCAGCCCCCTCTGCAGCTAAGGGTTTACCACCGCAGCACCTCTTTTTCCTCGCCTGCCTCTTCGGCCACGGCTCTGCGGTAGGAGACAGCCCTGCCGGGTGGCGGGCAACCTTGTCTGGGTTTGGGTCTGGGTCAGGCCCACAGGGGAAAGGGAGGCCGTGACTCGGTATACCCTCTGCATCCTACTCTGCTGTGCTACGCAGGCCCCTCCCCCAATCTTCTCTTTGGGGGTCACTGGAAAGCAGAGTCAGGACTGATGTCTGTACTTAATACGGCATACCCCCCCCCCCAGTTCCCCGGCTCCCCAAGTCGAGGCTGCCTAGGGTCTGGTCAACAGGGGTAGCTACGGCGGCGGTGGCGGCAGAGGCTGCGGTGGCAGCAGAACTGCGACGCGGTGCTCGCTCCCGCTCCCCCCCCTCCGGAGAGGGGTGTAGGGCGAGGGCCGGCGGGTGGGCGCCGCCTGGCGGGCAGGCGGGCAGGGTTGCTGGCCTGGGGAAGGGGCGCAGTCACGTGCCGGCGGGCGGGTGGGCGCGTACAGTAGGGCGTCCTGCTACTGTACTGGGGAGTCAGTGCCCTGTTACCGGGTCTCGTCTGTCTCGTCTCTCCCGCAGATCTCGCGAGAGTGGCTGACTGGCTGTGGGGGTTGCGGCGGCAGCAGGCGGAGCCGGGGAGGGAAAGCAGCGGCGGCTGAGGCGACTGAGGCGGCGGGCGGAGCGGCAGGCGGCGGCGCGGCGGCGGAGCGCAGCATCATGGCGGACCGAGACAGTGGCAGCGAGCAGGGTGGTGCGGCGCTGGGCTCGGGCGGCTCCCTAGGGCACCCGGGCTCGGGCTCAGGCTCCGGCGGGGGCGGTGGTGGCGGCGGGGGCGGCGGCGGCAGTGGCGGCGGCGGCGGGGCCCCGGGGGGGCTGCAGCACGAGACGCAGGAGCTGGCCTCCAAGCGGGTGGACATCCAGAACAAGCGTTTCTACCTGGACGTGAAGCAGAACGCTAAGGGCCGTTTCCTCAAGATCGCTGAGGTGGGCGCTGGCGGCAACAAGAGCCGCCTCACCCTCTCCATGTCTGTGGCAGTGGAGTTCCGCGACTACCTGGGCGACTTCATCGAGCACTACGCGCAGCTGGGCCCCAGCCAGCCGCCCGACCTGGCCCAGGCACAGGACGAGCCACGCCGGGCGCTCAAGAGCGAGTTCCTGGTGCGCGAAAACCGCAAGTACTACATGGATCTCAAGGAGAACCAGCGCGGCCGCTTCCTGCGCATCCGCCAGACAGTCAACCGGGGGCCCGGCCTGGGCTCCACGCAGGGCCAGACCATTGCGCTGCCCGCACAGGGGCTCATCGAGTTCCGTGACGCTCTGGCCAAGCTCATCGACGACTATGGAGTGGAGGAGGAGCCGGCCGAGCTGCCCGAGGGCACCTCCTTGACTGTGGACAACAAGCGCTTCTTCTTCGATGTGGGCTCCAACAAGTACGGCGTGTTTATGCGTGTCAGTGAGGTGAAGCCCACCTACCGCAACTCCATCACCGTGCCCTACAAGGTGTGGGCCAAGTTCGGACACACCTTCTGCAAGTACTCGGAGGAGATGAAGAAGATTCAAGAGAAGCAGAGGGAGAAGCGGGCCGCTTGTGAGCAGCTCCACCAGCAGCAGCAACAGCAGCAGGAGGAGACCACCGCTGCCACCCTGCTACTGCAGGGTGAGGAAGAAGGGGAAGAAGATTGATCAAACTGAATGAAACACACACACACACACACACGCATACACGTACGTGTACACACACACACACACAGCCACACACAGAGAGAAAATATACTGTAAAGAGAGAAAATAAAAAGTTAAAAAGTTTAAAAAAAAAACTTAAACTCCAAGGGAGCACCACCCACAGAACCTCCACCAACTGACAGTTTCTCTTCTTGACTTGCCACCCATCGCTGGATGTTGTCCACTTTATCCACCATGTAAAACAGTAAGCAGCTGCTAAAAACAAAAAAATATACAAAAAGTAATAACATTATATGAACTGTGTTTCCTACTTGATTAAAAAATATAAAGAACTGAGTGTTTATTTCCCTAATTAACCAAGAACTTTTGTACACGTTTAAGCTATTATTATTAAAAGTGTTTGCAAAATGGTCAAGATTATAATATTGCTGAATTATATAAAAAGTCCTTTTCATGTTGAGCTAACATTTGACTTTAGCACAAAAAAGAGATATTTTAGAACACGTAAAATAATATTTTTAGTTTTTCTCATTTTGTTACCAAATTTCAAACCTTACATGGAGGTTATTATAGTATATTTGACATCCTATATACCTGTGATTAGAGATGTGTATATATATGAGGGCTAGGCATGCTGTGTGTCTGAGCTTTGTCTAAATGTTATGCAGAAGTTTGTAGAGTTCAAGGTACGTAGGTTTAATTCATGCAAGGTAAACAATAAGTGCTCTCTTTTATACAATATGCATTGCATCTGGACCTTAAACATATAAAAATGGTCAGTGAAACTTCTGTGAACATGAAGAAATTATTAAAAAAGGCATTTAAATGAAATTTGCTAAGTTGTGATTTTTATGGTTGGAACCAAAGTTATTCAAATAGTAAAAGAAAAAGAGAAAGAAAAAGGAAATTTCCCATAATATTTTTCTGCATCTGTTTGCTTTGACTGAGTAGGTGTTTTGTTATTATTGTGTATATGAGATGTACTTGTATTGTTCATAATATATATTTTTTATTATGTGTAGAAAGATTTTAAAAACCTAACTAACGTGCAGCAATTTCCAGTGAACCTGTACTTGGATATCAGGTAGTGAGTCTATTTGTGGTCACTAGCACTGTCTCCTAAACTTGTAAGAGGTCTGAAGCTATCCTTTGATTTTTTTGCCAGTGCTATTAACTTATGTAGACCTGTTTAAAAGCAAAGCAACACCATTATAGTTATCCTACTGAGCCATGGATTCTGAGTTTCCTTTAAAAGTGAAAGCCAAGTTGGTGTATGTAAAGGATTTCCATGTAGCTGTGGTGCTAGTTATTACTGGCTACATTATATGTAAGTGTTTTGTGTTCCCCAAGTGTACAAGCCTTCTGTCAAAAGTATGTTCTATTATCACTCATATTCAAAGTTTAGGGTATGAAAATGCAAGCTTAGGAGAGCACTTTACCAAGCTGGTGTCCTCCACTGAAATTGTTTGTAACGATAGTCTTTTACAGGTTTTCATTTGAAGATGTTTGTGTGCTTTTAATTGACAACTAACTTCTTGCTGCTGTATAGTAAAATATTAATATATTTTTTATCATTAAACTGCTGCATGACTATCATCTTTGAGTGAAGAGAAAAATGTTATAAAAAGATGCCTTAAATACAGTACATTTTGGTTTGGAATTCTGTAGAAAGTATTTTGGTAAAAAAAGAAAAAAGAAAAAAAGAGGATCTTGGATCTTGTCTTGACAGAGAGAGTTCTGGACATGCAATTGTTTCTTGGCAAATCCAGCCATCTAGATCTACCTGCTGTATGTAGAAGAAACCACCGGTAGGACTGGGAACGGTCAGTACCTTTCCCATTGGAAAGCATCCGCCTAGGAAGGCAGAACAGTTGTCTTTTTTGAAGGATTTTTTTTTCCTGCTGGCTCTTTAGGTTTTGATTTGATATTTTTAAGCTTTCTGGTTGTACGTGTTGAATAACAAGCTATTTTCATTGTACTGTGCATTTTCCACTGTTTGCTTTTCATATTCATACAATGTTAACTATGAGGTGACCGTACAATAGTTAGGGGTTTCTTTACTTACAAAATCACTGGAAATTATTAAATTGCTTTCCCCTCCCCCCAAGGTGCATTTTTTTATTATTTTCATATAGTAAAGTTGAGCTTTTACAGTGCATAATGTGACATTTGGAATGCTTATCAACTGCATGTAAACATTAATAACCTGCACTTTTGTCTTAAGGTTTGTTGAGCTGTTTTGTTCACTGTACTTTAACTGTGATATGGAAAAGATTGCATTCTCTGTGCTGTTTCTAATTAGGAAAGAGAATTGCTTTGATTTTGTCTCTTGTTTACTATAGCTTCTTAAAGTTAAGCCTTGTGCTACGAGTTGTTGGAGTATTCCTAGATCAGTGTTTCGTAGTAGCCAGCAGTCAGTAGTGCAAGTCAACAAAAACACAGCAAACTTAGGCAAAGTGTCCTTTCTTTGAGATGCAAGTTCTTTCATTAGGTTTTCTTTAGGGTCAACTGCCTAAAGTGAAACCTTTCTTACCTATAGACTTCAGATTCTGCTTGGAATCCTACTGGATCAAGAAGCACATGTACTGTGCTGTTGTCTTTACACTATAACAGTTAAACACAATCTTACTAGGACTTTGAATCCATTGTCTGATTTATGGTCAGTGGGTTTAAAAAGAAATCCACACGCAGATCTTTTAAGACTTAAAAAGTGGTCATATAGAGAAGACTGAGTGACTGTAAAGATGCTCTTTTTGTTCAAAGCATCTCACTTTCTCCCCATCAACCTCCTCACCTCCCTTCCCCTTCTCCTGTTTCATCCTCCCCTACATTTATTTCTCTCCCAGGTGCTCGGTACTTTACCAAGGTTCTATATTTCAGTGTATTATGTTAGAGTCTCTTCATGTTTTTAGTTTTACTAGTGGGTAGCCCCAGTTTGTGCTGAAAAAAGAAGGGTATATTTGACCATATGTGTTGTTCATAGAAGACAGTATGATCAAATGTGCCAAAAACAAGCAAACAGAACTTAATTCATGACAAGTATGCCTTATTTTTATTGATCTGCTTTGTCTTACAATTAAGGTCCAAGAGCTTGGTTAAACTATGTTATTTGCCTAAGTAAAAAAAGAAAACTTGAAATGCATTGAGCTATTGATGTTCTTTAAAAATGAGAGACACTGTCAAGTAATTTGATCCAGAGATCAGCCACCAGATTTGAAGAATATGTGCGTATGTGTGTGTGTGCGCGTGTGTGAGTGTGTGTGTGTGTGGTGGTAGTGGTGGTGGTATTTGTGAGTCCCCCCCCCCTTAAATCACCAAATCTTATTTTAAAGCTACCTTTTATTTGTGCCTCCTATTTATCATTCAGATGTTAGAAGCAGCAGTCATCCAGCCACAGGGGGAGCTAAAGTTAACTAACCAGAACTATAGAAATCATCATACATGCCTTTGACAACAAAGGAGGTTCATAAGAAAGCCATGTTGGCTTTTCCTCTACTAGACACACATTGAAGGTAGATGAACATTTGCCAAATGAGAAAAAAAGACAAAGTAGTCAGGAAAGACAAACTCTTTTCCAGCTTCTCAAAAGCCATGGAAAGTAGAAACCAAAACCAATGAGAAATTTAAAAAACTCTGAAAGTCTCACTTTCTAGTCCCATGCAGGGGTTAAAATTTGACTCAAAATGGAAAGTCTGTCAATTTTTGTTTTTAGGCCTTTACATCTAAAGATGGATAACTATTCCAGTTTGATTTTTTTTTTCAGGTAATGGAGAAAGCTGCTAGTGATTTTAACCCCTGCCGAAAGGAGACAGATAATTTCATTTGGGAGCAAATACTTATTGCCTTGAGAAATAGCACTATAATAGCCTATGTTAATTAGTCGTAGAATAACCTTTATCCCTTTCAAGCTATGCAAATTATTAAATAAGTGTAAATTAGAATTCAATTAAAGAGAGTTGATTATATTGCAATCAGATGGTATTCACAAACTTAACTGAAGCATATACAAATAAAATCTATTAGTTTAAGAGTTTTTTTAATGCTGACATAAATATAATTTAACTACCTAGTGCTGCACACTATTAACATTGTATGATAGGTCTGGGAAGACTGCCTCCTTTTTTTTGAAGAGAGATTAAGAATTTTTATAATTGTTTTTCATCAAACTTTAATATTTTTGTCAAGTTTTTAGGTATTTAATTTGTAAAACAGTTTGCTTTGTACTGGCATACAGATATTAGGGTATTGATTTTAAACTTTTTGAAGCCAAGTGATCAAGTACATTTGTAATAAAAATCAATGGATCTCTATCATTTGTACTCACTGTTTTTATTTCTTGTTCTTGTCATTGTAGGAATTTGTACCTTTTTCTGCAGGAAAATGGAGCTAAATTTGGGTAGAAGGGGTGAGGAAGATAAATCTGTTGAGAGTAGTCTGGGTGGATTTGGTGGCTCAAAGCATGTCATAGCATCAGAGTTAGTGTGTTGGAAAAGAAGTAATGTCATCTTTTTTCTTCCTGATTTTTTTTTTAAGTGGAACTTAATGTTTGGAGAGGTTATCTCAGTTTTGTTTCTGTACTTGAAAGTTTTGTGTTTTGGCAGTGTTGAAACTTTTTAAACACATTTTTCTCTCATGACATTTTGTGTTAATTGGCCAGCCATGGTGACCCCACTATGGGCATGGGATTATTTTTATCTTTACATGACTTACCTTCTCTTCTCCAATATTTCCATTAGTTTTTTTTTCATATTATACACTTATATTTCTAGATGATTTTAGAATGGGACTTCCTGAAATGACTCGGGTAGCTTTCATAACTCCAGTTAATTTTAATATATAAGTGTACTTTTAATATTTTCTTCCCCATAAAACAGAAAATCATCCCCCCCTTTTTTTGTTGTTTCTTGGATATTAGGATGAGATTTTGTTTACTGTGTTAAAGAAAGCTAAGACAAGATATTAGGATGAGATTTTGTTTACTGTGTTAAAGAAAGCTAAGACAAGGGTATCTTGAGCACTTTAGATTCGAAATAGTGGGTGATAACTGAATATAACATTTATGGTTGTTACCTCTAAATGTGAGTATCAGTAATTTAGAGGGAACTCAAGTTTTGTCATGAGAATAGACTAAGGGAAAGATCTTTTTTTTTTTTTTTTTTTTTTTGGTTTTTCGAGACAGGGTTTCTCTGTGGTTTTGGAGCCTGTCCTGGAACTAGCTCTTGTAGACCAGGCTGGTCTCGAACTCACAGAGATCCGCCTGCCTCTGCCTCCCGAGTGCTGGGATTAAAGATCTTTTTAATTGCTTAAGCAAATTTACCAGTTTTGTAAGTTTGTTTTAAAGTTTATCAAATTTTAAAACATTGTTTTCTTCATTGTAAGCCAATTTAGGCCATTCATAGTAACATATTCTATAAAACTAAAGTGATGACTACTTAAGATGACTATCCAGCAGCATTAATATTACCATAGCTCTGCAGAGTTAGCAGTGCATTTTTTTAAGAAAAGCTGACTTAAAGATTTATGAAGCTATTTGATCCTAAAACCAAACCTAAATTTAAGGCCTAGGCCATCCTAGCTAAGACTAGCTTCTCTGAACAGAAATTTCATTATTATGGACTACGTAATGGTGATCTAAACTAGCATTAGTAGAATTTCAAGATTCAAGAGCAACCAGATGAAATATAAGAAATGTGGCTGGTTCTAAGTAGTTTGTCATCTTCCATTTACAAAATGACTACCTGATTTTGATATTAAAGGGCCTGGGCAGCTTACATCTTCAGAAAAGTTGAATGTGGAAAATAGCCTCCTGGTGATGTTTTCTTGTAAGACTTTTATAGTTATTCTGTATTCATGTTAGGTTTTACGTATCTTTCCTTCCATTACATTTGGTTTCTCCTCTCTCCTTTCCTCTTTCCCTCCCTCCCTTCTGTTGTCTAGCTTTTATGGAAAATTGGCTTGTTGATAGGTGTAGAAATGTGGTGATCTTTTATATAAAATAAAACTAATTTTTACAGACCAGAAACATTTTATTCTTGGAATCATAATATTGTTGTGCTTCCATGAATACATACTTTTTATTAATAATTTACATATTAAATTTTTTAGCATTTCATGGGGGGAAAATTAAACTAATGAGTTTTAATTTTCTTGGTTTAGGTTCCACTTTAGTAATTCAGAAGCCCTATAAGGTTAAAGGTCATACTCTTGTGTTTTGCAGTTGTGGCAGTATTCTTGCTTGGTATATATTTTGGTCTAAGATGTCTTAATGCAAAAGGCTTCTAGGAGGATTTAAATAGCAGTTAAAAGTTACAAGACAGGTGAAATCTCACTTTTGACTAGCTCAAACAGTAATAACAATCAGGTAATGATTTACACTTGTTGACATGTCAAACTCTGCTGAAATGGACTGATAGTTGACAGTGCAATTAGTTGTTGGTAGCTCTTGACCTCCTTGCAACAACATCTGACACTTTGACTCCTTCATTCTCTCTTCATGATCCCACTCGTGACACCTGAGCATCCCTCCTTTAAGAAGAAGTGATGACTCTTTCCTTTGAACTGGTAATCCTGAAAGAGTTCTGTATTTTGAGGTAACTTGGCCTTTTTTCTTTTCTGACCATTGTTTTCCTCATAGTCTTAACTTGGCAATTTGAAGAGCATCTAAATGAGTGCTTGTTAGGAAATCTGTGAAATGAAGAATGTAAGAAGCATGTGTTTAAGTTACTGAGAACTGAGACTCACTGGTGTATAAATTGGAGAGCAGAAAGGGTAAAGCTGTTTGTGCATGGAGGTGTGAGAGAAAAGAATGATTGGAAGTAGGAGGGATTTTTATTGGCAGTAGGAAGTACTAAGATGAACTCTGGATGACAGTTGTTGACTAAGAAAATGAGGTTCAGCTTCACTAAGGAGGTGTCATGTCCACTGTCAGTGAAGAGAAAACTGTCCGTCTGTTGCTAGTTGTGGTGATGATGATGGATTATACAAATCTGCTTTGATGTGTATATATGATGGTTTGAGGGTTTATAGTATGTCTGTTCCTCTGAACAAAGTCAAGTAGCACAATTGTGAAACGGCAGGTTTCCTGGTCAACGCAGATTGGTGTTAGGAACTTACTATTTTGGAAAAAAAAGAACAGTTCAACCTTTTGTTTGCCATTTTTAAACTGCCAGTGATATTTATTGTACACTCTTATCTTGGGCTCTTGTCACATTGTAGCTTATGTTTGCATTTCAAGATTATCTTTCTAATCTACAAGATCCACACCCAGAGGTTCTTATTTTATAGATACTTTAGCCTTTGGTCCACATAATTTTTTTAGAAGACAGTAAACCAGATAAATCACTGAATGGCTATTTTAAGTATCTTTTCTATTTCCTTTACATTTGTGTCCTAACAGCTATCTAACATTATGGATCGTAAACCCTTGGTAATGCGGTTCCAGAATTAGACAACACATCCCCTGAATTCGTGTTTCTGTTTGTTTTCCTACTTTAAAGTTGTTGAATTCCTTAAAGTTAGTGTAGACAGGTGTTAATTCTAACTTAATATATCACCCAGGTTCTTGTTCTTTGTAAGGTGTGTTGACAATGATCAGTTATCTGTTCTATAATCCCTGGAGTGTTTTAAATTATTTAAGGTAAATACTTGTTTTAAAGTTACATAGTTCAGATTCAGATTGACTGTAAATTTACTATGGGTTTATTCCCAGTAATTTTGACACATTACTTTAAAGTTTTATTTTAATCAGATCCCTATACATTCTTGCGATAATTTGTTTTTAAAATAGCCAAAAGGAAGTTTTGGTCTATACTTGGTCTTTTCTCAAGTGTCAAATTCATTAACAATAGCAGGATTATTTTTACATAGCTTATTTTGCAGAGTTGACACTTAGTATAATTTTCACATTTTATTGTGTGTCAGATTTTAAATTATAGCTAACATACTATAGTTTAAGTCTGTGCAGAGCCTTCTTAAATAGCTCCTCCCTTAGGAATTGTTTAAAAGAAGTAAAGAACTAGTGCTTTAAATGACTGAGACAAGTCTGAAAGGTTTCCTTGAGTCTAGGCAATGGAGATAAACGATAGCCCATTTCTATGCTGCATACAGTTTTTAGGGTTTGATAATAATGTAGAAAAGTGCAAAAGCAGAAAAGACTGTAAAGTGGCCTGTAAATTTATAGTTTTCATTATTGCACTATTTATCTTTGCACTTGATTTTTTGGAAGTTAAAGACTAGTCACTTTCACTTTTGTTTCTAGTCTTTCTTAATTTCTTGCAAGAATTATTTCAATATTATCCCACCCAAAGTTAAACTCATATGCAATTACATATGCTTTATAAGGCCAAGAAAATATTTATTAATGTTAACTATGTAACAGTAAAATTTGTTTTTATAAAATTTTTAATATGGATCTTTATTTGCCAATAAAATTCTTTATAAATGTGAGCTTTATTAAACTGTTTAAGAAAATTAAAAGCTTAGGATAGGAAATATGTCTATGTATATGAAATTGTGTCTTTGAGATCCCACATCCAGCCAGGTATGGCCTGGCTTTGGAGTGTTGGTATGTTTCATTTAGCAAATGATATGAGTCTTACTGGGCACATGCTTAAGAAACTGGAAGTAAAGTAGACGGCAGTTCCCTTTTCTGTGTAGCTTTCCATAAAGTTCATATAGTTCCTTCGTGGTTTGTGTCACATAACTGGTATTACGTGAAATGACCGTTCCTTTTGAGAATTTAAGATTGACTCACTTTTTGAGGGATGGGTCCAGCAAAGGATGTGAGACTTTGATTTAACCAGAGGCAGTCTTAGCTTCCTTGATGTGCCTGCATAGAGAGCAAGCAGTGTACCTGTGAATGTGTGATGCTGTATTCAGAGCTGCAAAAAAAAAAAAAAAAAAGAAATTGAATTTTCTCAATGGAACAGAGAGATATATTTTTGGCTGGAATTGTTTTTATAAGTTACTTAATGATCTCATTTTCTATTTCTTTCCCTGTAGCTTTTTACACATCTCACATTTAAAACCAGCAAGTAAGAGGCCTCTTTTCAGATCTGGATATTCTGAATGTGTTCTGGATGGGGGTGTTGATCGTGACATGTTCTTCCCATGTTCTTCTGGTCATTGTGTTTCACAGTGTTTGCAAATTCTGTTGAAAATTGAGTGATGTTTTTGAAATGAGAATGTTGTCTACAACATGGTGTGGATGCTTGTGGCTAGATTCTATGGAGGAGCCTGTAGCTTTGTTTTTAATTTAAGTAGAAAGTTTTAGCATAGTCCAGGTTTTAGGGTTATGTACAGGAATTGAGCCAGGTTGTCTACATGTGGACCAATTTTGGAATGAAAGTTAGTGAATATGAATTTGACTCTAGATAATTCTGTACACGAAACCGCAAGTTAAAGGCTCATATCATTAGAGTTCCCTACGTTTGATGGCCTTAGCTCTTTAAATGTGGGTGACATTTATCATTGTATCTGTGAATTTCCTTAGGAAAAGAAAAGATTCAGTCTTTATACCTTTTCTTGGAGGCTAAATTTACTGCATATGGAAGTGAGAAAATTGTAGCAAGTGGCTTTATTTTTTTAGTGGAGGTTAACCAGCTTAATTTCTTTTCCTACTTTGAAGCACTTGTTTCCCAAATATGAGTAAAGGGAAAGGAGCAGCCCCCCAGGCCATTGTTGTCTGCCTCCATTTCCTAATCCTGTTATACAGTGAATTACGGGTATCCCTCTAAGTCCCTGTAACGCTTTGGGGGGGGTCACAGATACCTTTGAAAATCTGATGAAAGTGATGGACCTTTGCCCCAGAAGAAAGGTGCACATTATACAGATAATTTTACTACAACCTTAGAATCATCACTTATCTTCTGAAACCCAAGTTATGAATTTTTGCTCTTTGCAGACTGTACACAAAATTTTAATGCAAAGTAATTGATAAAATTTAGAGCTATTGGCTTAAAACATTTCGGATTGGAATTATTACATGGTGGCCCCTACTAGCGAAATGTGATATTGCAAATAGCTTTGTTAGACTTTATAACATCCAGATAGAAGGGAAAGAGAAGTAAAGTTATGAGAGCTGTGTATGAGGAGTCAGGTTATCTCCAGATATGGGAGCCATTCCTGGTTCAAGGTAGGGCTCCGGATGCCTGACAATGTTAGCAGGGTAGAGTTTGATAAACCACAATGCTCAGGATGCCAAGGGGTTAGCCATTATCTTAACCCCTTCCTCACCAAAAGATTTTAGTTTTGTCTGTTGGGAAAAAAGATGGCACTAGGAAAAAATAAGTTGCCTTACAACTTTGCTGGAACACATCAGTTTGGTGAAGTATGGGACACTAGTATTATTTTTGAGAAGGTGCATAAAACCAAAGTAAATTATTCTCTATGTAGAACATTATTTACTAGTAACATTTGTTTGGGTGTATTAGCTTTGACAATTTTTACCAGTAAATATTGACTTTATTTAAAACTGGGAGTCCAGTTTACATATAGGATAGTTGATATATCCATCTTTTCCCCATGTAAAGAGTAGTCTAAAAGATTTATGCATACTTTTTACTTTTCTCTCTTGATACCACGGGGTGGGAGGTAGGGGTGGGGGAGGACTTTCAACACCTGACAAATGTCTTCAAATTTAAAAATCAAGAAGCAGCACTTTAAGTCTAACTCCACGCCATTTTAGTGCATGTATTAGTTTAATAATGATTTTTGGTGCATGCCTTTGGGCTTATTCAAAAGTGTACAATAGAAAAGTGTATTTCCTTTCTTAGAAAGGAGATGTTTTTCTACTTTGCAACATGTGATTACAAAAATCTTCCTCTGTGGGAAGATTAACTATGTATTGAACTACTGAAAAGTATATATTTTTAGATATACAGAAGGAATCTACACGGGGCAGCATTCAGACCTATATAGAAGTCATAGCATTCTGTATAGGACCAAAAGGAAGTAACATTAAACACTTAAACAGACTTTGTTGGGTAGAAATACCTTTCAATCTTGCATTGACTTCAAAAAAGAAAATGCCGCAGAAGTTTGCTTAAACTTTTGTTTGAATTTTCTCTGTCAGTGTATTTAGCCCAAATGCAGCAGCTTTGGGTTAGCACAATGTAAGAATCAAAACACAAACTAAATAGTTCAGTCTGGTTTGCCAATCCAGCTTGACTGAAATAAGTAACCAATCACTTGCAAACTGAAAAACTGTCCAGCTTCTCTGAGGTTTTGACAAAATAACCTTGGCTGATGTGGGAACACTCCTACTTTGAATTCTGACCTGACAGTGAGGATTCATGCTTGACATGATTTCAAACCTGACAGTGTCTGTTTAAGGAGCCATGGTACAGTTTGCTAATTCAATCCCAGTACCTGTTGATTACCTGTAAGATCTAGAGTCCAAAGTAGCCAGCAGCCGTATCCCTGAGTGCTCTGTGCCCATCAGATATTGTGAAGTAAGCAGAGTTGGGACGGGTCACAGCTCTGAGGTTTGACCTCGGGTTGTAGACAGCCCCAGATTCAAGAATTGTATCTGCTTCCTTGGGAGTCATCACTGAAATAATGTCCCACACTGCGTTACTTACTGTAGATGCTCTCCAGGAGGAGGCCCAGAGCACACGTCCTAATTGTGGTACTCAGAGAGGGGGTGCTAACTCTGATGCCCTGGCCAAATTCCAGTTTAGGGATGTGGGTCTTCTTGTCATTCTGATTGGAAATGTACATCACTTCCCATTTTTCCTATTGCTCTCGGTGCAAACTACACAAATCTGTTCCTTTGCCCCAATCCCAAGTCTCTAAGATACTGACTGGTATTGTATGGGCCAAGTTCATGCCTTATCTTAATGCACAAGAGTTGAAATGAGTGAGCTTGACATCATCAGATGCCCTGTACTTGGAGGGTAGACTCTTGTGACGCTTGGGGATGAAACCAGCCCTCTTTTAGCATATGTTAGAAGATATGCACTGGTTGAAAGCTTCCAGCCATAAGGTATGAGCTGAAACCAGTCTTCCCTCTTTTCTTATAGCATGATGAGAACGTCTGTTGGGTTTTCAGCAGTTGGGGAAGGCCGGAGTTCTGCAGCTTTAATCTGGGTAACTAGCTGGTTTGAGCAAGACTTTGGTAAATTAACTGGGTTCTCAGATGCCACAGACTCCGTGAGAAGTCACCATTATTTTCAATGGCCATGATAGAGTCCCCTGTAGCCGTTACTTTAAGATACATGCAGAGTTGCTTTATTTTGAGCTTTTTGTGTACACACAATCCCAAACTGGAAAAACTTTAAAAAGAATCCTGCTGTGAAAGGTATATATTACTCTAGATTTTTCTTACTGTAAATATTGTAAGATTGTAATACTGTCGATATTTTATTAACCAACAAATGTTAATCTATGTGAAATCAGACTTATTTTCAATGTGCTTCTTATTTACTGTGTGTGGTCCCTGTTGCTGACAGTATTAAGTTATATTCTGATGTAAGATTAACTTTATTAAAGAATGTAAACATTAATGTTTCCTTATGGGAAAACAAATAAAGTATAAAGAAGACAATTCTTTTCATTGAAATATACTGTGTATTTACACTTGCTAGACCCAGCACCACTTATAAACTTAGTCCACTGTCCAGTTTCAGTTAACACAGCTGACACGGTTGTGCTCCGCCTGAAAGTCTAAGCCTTGCTGTTGTTGGAATATAAAGAGTTTGTATTTGTCTGCTGTGAATCATCTTGAAATTTCTAATCAAGTTTGTAAAATTTTTATAGTAAAAATTTTAATGACAATTTAAAAAATTACCTTCTCTAAAGGATGGTCAAAACAATGTCCTTTCAGAAATAGAGTTGTTCTTTACTATCTTTCCAAAATGACTTTGGTTAAATGGACCAGGTGTATATTAGTTAAAACCTAGGGCTAAGTTCTTGATATTCTTTGAGTTTACACGTTAATCCTTATTGGAGTTGTGCCAATATACAATAGAATATCATTAATTTGCACTGTTTGGGGACCCCATTTAAGAATGCTGAATTTTGCCAACTAAAAAGTAAGCAAATGCAATTTTAAAAGTAAATTTGAGCATTCTGTGTTAAATATGTGCAGTTATTACCATATGAAGAAGCGCAGTGTGTTGGGCTGTAATATAACCATATTTGCTGTCATGTTCTCCCAAATCAGCCGGCTTGAGTCTGTTCACTACCAAAGCTGAAGCTAGCGAGGTCTGCTGTACTGCTTAGTGAAGTATTGTGATTCTTTTAGGCCTTGGTTCTTACAAAATATATACTGTAACAGTATACTTTGTACAGATTTAAATTTTATTTGAAAAAAATGAAATAAAGTAGGCAAAAAATAAAGATGTTTATTTTTCATGTGACTACATAAACAGATCATCAGTCTTTTGTTTCAGTCTTTGGGGGGGGGCGGTTGGTGGCCTGTTTGTTTTGTTTCGGTTTGGTTTTTGGTCAATGGAGACACCTCCAGAGCCTGATAGTCGGTGGGCATTTGCCTACAACTCATCATTAATGAGGAGGTTAAATGTGCTTTCTCACATGGGAAAACCACATTTTTAATTTTATTTTAAAACAAATTTTTTCTTTATAAAATTTTTTTGTGAATAAACTTCCTCTGTGGATTCTTGAATCAACTTTTAATAACTTGTCTGGCCGTGTGATAGTTAACTAAGCTGCTCTGAAAAGGAGGGAGAACTTGCAATGAATCCTGCTCCTTTCCTGTGAAGACCTTGTTCTGTTCCTCTCAGCTTTATGTTGGAAGTTGGTTTGGAGAAGTATACGGGTTACAGGAGTCTATGACGTAAGATGAAGAGTTGTGTCTTGAAGTAAGATCCTTTTCACTGCTTTTCTAATAGAATAGAAAAGCAGAGAGAAAAGAAGCCACAAAAACATAGCACAGGAGTAAATCTTCAGTACACTTTTATTGGATCATTCTAGAACAATAGCCCAACCTTCCTAACATTGTGGCCCTTTAATACAGTTTGTCTTATGGTGACCCCCAACCTTAGCATTATTTCATTGCTACTTCATAATTATAGTTTCGCTACTGTTAGGCATCATATGTAAATATCTGATCTGTGAGTCCAAGGGGGTCATGACCTGTGGGTTGAGATCCCCTGTTCTAGAAGATCAGATTATCTAACCAAGGAGAACCACCTCTTGGACTTCTGAGTAAAATTTTAAAAACAAGCAAACAAAGGCCTTATGGATATGTCTCCTTGGCTTTAAGAAGTAGAGTTTTATTTATTTGTTTTGTGTATTTTTGCTTTTTATCATTATTTTAATATTTTCACATACCTTCAAGCAAGATCAGAGGACAAGTTACAACAGGTACTTCTCCGAGTTGTTCCTGGTAGAAAAATCACACCGTGTAAAGCCCTCTTGGTGATGGGCTATGTTTTAAAAACTTACGCATGACCACAGAATATTCCAGTTTACAGCTCCAGACTTCTCTGGGTTAATCCCAAGGAAATTTGCTATTTTTCTCTTTTCATAACAAAATGTAGAGACTAAGAGTTGGAGTAAGTTCCATAAGTGACAACTACAACTCTGATTAAAAAAAAAAAATGCTGGGCAGTGGTGGCGCAGGCCTTTGATTCCTTGGGATAAGGCCTTACTAAATTGTCCAGACTAACCTTGAACTCACCCTGTATCACAGATGGACCTTCAACTTGTGGTCCTTCTGCCTGGGTCTCCTGAGTAGTTAGGATTATAGTCCTGTGTCACCAGACCTGGCTAAACTAGTTTCCTCTAGTTCTACAATGCCTGTGGCTCTAGGGAACACACAGAAAACAGTTAGGTGCTTTCTGAAGAATAGATGCTCCTCTGTCCTCAAGAGTGGGGATCAGGTAAAATCCCTGGATCCTGCTAAGAGGAGCAGGAGCGTCTAGTGAAGACTGTAGGCAGAACCTGCTCCTGGGACGTACTGGAGTGGACAGAGTCTGAGGTGAGGGCCTATGGCGGCCCTGCAGGTCATCTCCCAGACTCAGGATAGGTATGAACTGCAAGTCTGGGCCTAGATGGCTTGGAGACTTCTTAAGAAAAGAACCCAGAATCACGTCATAAAATTGGCAGTCTTTCCCCACTACCTCCTTCCAGTGGCTGTGAATTTTTATTTAAGCATGTGGCATATAACTGACTTTGGCTCTTTTACATGGTGTATTTTTCTTTTTTAGCAATCTCTTTGTTCTTAGTTCCAGTAAAAGTTGCTTTCTAGGCAGATAGGACTTCCCCCACCACCACACACATGGACATCTTTGGGTACCAGGATTTGACAGGACTTTTTGATCTATGGTATGGGTTTTAGAGGAGTTTCTGTTCATTTGGGATCAAAGGAAAGAAATCCCTCTGTAGCATCTGACTGCCAGTTCTGCTGGGGTCCACACACCTCCACTACTATCACTTCAGTACGTCCTCACACTTTGAAAACTTCAGGAGCTGTATATTTCCCCTGAAAATGGGATTCCACTTTAATATTGCAAATCTCCAGGTGTTCCCAGTAGCATTAGTACAGTTTTCCTACCAATGATAATTCTAATTACTTTGATTTGTTCATATCTGACTGTCAGTGAGAAATGTCCCAAAAGAGACTGAATGCTCAGTGTGTACAAGCAGGATATCTCTGTTACAACCAGCAGGGTTGGCCTGTTAAAGCCATTCCCTTAGGCAGCCTGAGCCCGGGAGCAGCTCCAGCCTAGCTGTCCTTTTGTCTCTGGCAATAGCTCCGGTAGTGGGTGTATAATCACTGTCCTGAATTTTTCTGAGCCCCACTATCTTTTATGTTTTAAGTACTGAATGTGTAAAATTAGATGCCGAAGTGTTTTTCCTAGGTTATTTCATTCTTACTTCAGCCCCTGTAATGTGCAAGCACTCTTACTACCCACCTTTTACAGATGAGGATGCTCACTGTGGCATGGGATGATTAACCTGCCCCAGGGCTCCACCACCAGAATTCCACGCCCAGGTATGTGGATGTCAGAACACATCTGTGTTCTCCATGCTCTGCTATAGTGCCAAAGCCATGATGGTTTTGTCTACACACCTCACTAATAAGTAGATCTCTCTGACTTTGACATTGCCTCGCCGCACAGGTGGTAAAGCCAGTGTGCTCTTTACAAAAGAGATTCCTCTGCATAGTTCAGAGTCACATTTCCTGTTCTAGACTCAACTTGATTCATGAATGAATTATCCCTCCCTTTCATAGGCGAAAGATTCAACTTGGAGCAGATCTAGAGGAAGCTGGCAGATGGCCCTTCTAGGCTTCTCTACTGCTTTTCTTCAAGTGAGCACAGCCTGAAGCACTATTCTTCCTCCTCCCCTCACCACAGCAACCTCAGCCATGGGTTCCGTGAATTCGGCTCTTGAGTTGTCTTGTTGGATTTTGTTCCTTCTCCATTTTCCCATATTCTAACCACCCCACCCTCTGACAGACACCTGTTCTTCCTTAGAGCAAACCTCCAGTCCCAACCCTGATAGATTCACATAGAAGCCCAACAGTAGTTAGTATCAATAGGTCTCCAGAGAGGCTCTGGTCTGCCCAGATTCCCAGAACCCCTTCTTCACTAGCAGTTGGCCCAGTATTTGGATCAACCAAAGCCAATCTCATCAGCTTCCATTCAAGTGTTTTGCTTGGCTTTTTACATTTCAGAGGGCATTTCCCTGTACCCTCTAAAATGCTGTTTCCCAGATGTTTCCTGACCTCCACGGGGAGGGAGATTCAACATCTTTCTCTCCAGAGGCTTGTCCCAAAAATAAAATCTCAAATTCCTTGGGACTTAGGGTGGTTTAGAGGGCTGTGGTATCTTTGAATCTTGTCTAAAAAGGAAGATCATAATTTAAACTTAGCACCCCTATGATTATTGTAGTCTTTAAATCAGTGATTCTTAAATCACGGGCCTAGATCAAGAGCATTAGTGTCCCCTCAGAAACTGTTGTTGGCAATACAAAGTCTTTTTTGATTTTTTTCTTTTGTTTTGTTTGTTTTTTGTTTTTTTGTCCCACTCCCCGATAGCCTGGAACTAGCTCTGTAGACCATGCTGGCCTTGAGCTCACAGAGATCTGCCTGCCTCTTGTCTCCTGAGTGTGGGCCAACTCCCAACCCCTGCCCCCAGCGGCAGTACAAATTCTTGGGCCCCACAGACCTACCAAATAAGAACCTCTGGTACTAGAGTCCTTCAGGTGATGTGACACACACTAAGGTGTAAGCTTTCTTTTGAAGTCTTAGGTTTAAGAATATGATAAAAACTGGGGGCTTTCTCAGTGACTTCATAGAACCTACTCCAAAGTCCAAGTTAAACTCTGGAACTTCCCATCCCCACCCCAACTGCCACCTGCCATCAAAACTATCATGATAGGGGACGACAACCTACTCTCTGTGCATCCATACTGTCAGATGTCACCAAAGGTATGCATCCCCTGCAGACGCACAGGAGTCAGGTTTGCTGCTCTCTGTATGTGCAGTAATCATAATCCATTGATAATATTGATAATATACTACAACAACCAGAAAAATAGGGGTTGAAGAGATAGCTCAGCAGATAAGAGCATGGACTCCTCTTCTAGAGGACCCAGGTTTGATTCCTACATGGTGGTTCATAACCATCTGCAACTCCACTCTCAAGGGATACAACACCCTCATGATGCACAGACAAACATACAAGCAAAACATCCATATACATAAATGTTAATTTACGGAAAAAAATTTAATTCTAAGCTGGGTATAGTGGAGCATTCCTGTAATTCTAGCATTGCAAGCTGCATGAAGCAAGACTGCTCACAAGTTTGAGGCCAGCCTGGCCTGCACAGAGAGATCCTGTCTGAAAAACATGAAAGAAAGGAAGAAAAACCATGGACCATCAGTCCAGGCATCTGGGGCCAGATAAAGGAACTGCCTGCTTGTAGAGCTGGGAGCTGAGTGTCACAGTAGAGTAGAACTGTCAAACTCCGCAGCAGGCTAAGGCCAGGGGAAGGTGATGGCAGCTAGAGCTTTATCAGTGGCAAATCTTGATCTCTCAAGAGAGAGACTCCCAAGACCAGGGCCCCTGTTTGAATTCTTCCTAAAAGCACCTGAGCTGTCAGTGACTGGCAGCCATGCCCAGCGTCTGACTTTCTTTCTTAGATTTATTTATTTTTATTTTATCTTTATGAGTGTTTTGCCTACATTCTATGTGTGCCTGATATTTGTGGGGGTCAGAAGATGTTACCAGATTCTCCCAGACCTGGAGTTACAGCTGGTAGTGATCCACCATGTAGGTGCTGGGAACGGAACCTGGGACCTTTGGAGGAGCAGCAGGTACTCTCTAAGTCCTTGACTCATGACTCAGAGCAGCCTCATTGGGGTGTAGGCAGAGTTTTTCATGGGGAC